AGTGTCAGAGACAGTGTGATTGGCACAGGACAGAGCGGAGTTTAGGGCTGTTGTACATAGGGTCGCTATGAGTCGCAAGCGACTCAATGGCACATAACAACAACAACAACCCACAATGTAAACATACTCTTCCCCACTTCTTCCCTGTGACTCTAATTTTCTTTAGGTCTTCTATTTTTCCTCTTCTACTTTCTCATTTTATCCCTGGGCAATTGCTGCCTTTTATGAGCTTGTATGGCTGATTGTTTTGAAGAGTGAGTGCTTCCCTGCTGTTATTATTCACCTTATGGGCCTACCATTATTTAGCTGGAAGTTGAATCATGGGGAACGGGGGGTGAATTTTGTTCCAGGTTCAAAGAATGACTAAGGATCATAGTCTTGAGGATTTCACCGCCTCCACCAGACACTAAGTCTAGCCATTTTTAGCTTTTTTTGTTCCGTGTTTTTTGCCTATTCTGCCTAGGACCTTCTACTGTGATCCTTTTTAGACCAGCCTGCAATTGTAGCCCAGCTGCATCTCATTCTGTTTCCAAGACTGTGGAGACTGATGTTTTGCAAGGTTGATCAGTTCTCTGTACCAGTTGTTTCAATGCATCTTTGCTTTTCTTTTCTCTTCTTTGTTCTGAACAGGGAGAGATCAATAGTTGTACCTTAGCAGCTTGCAAGCTTTTAAGATCTCAGTCACTAATCACTAAAGACTAGTCTTTTATATTCATCAGTAAGCGCCTCAAATCCTCTTCATTTTCAGCAGGGAAGGTGATGTATGTCATCTACATATTGCAAGTTGTTGATGAGTTTTCCTCAAATTTGGAATTTGTGATTTTCTTCATGTGTTTTAGCTTCTTAGATTATTTGCTGAATATATAAAGGTTAGAACTCTGATGAATACTCCTCCTGATTTTAAGCCACTTAATATCCCCGTGTTCCGTTCAGATGACTACTTCTTAGTGTTTGTACAGGTTCCACATGAGCACAAGGAAGTGTTCTGGAATCCTTCTACTTTGCAATGTTATCCATAATTTTTATGATCTATACAGCTGAATGCCTTTACATATTTAAGAAAGCACAGATAAACATCTTTCTGATGCTCTCTTCTTTTATCCAAGATCATCTAACTTCAGCAGTGCTCTCGCTCAGGTCCAGGATTTGGCTCTAGAGAATGCCTTTGTTGGATGACACCCAAACCACTGCACATGGAAATGTATATGAG